ATGCCGAGAAGTCACTCTGTCCCATCATCCTGGTCATTACATCAGCCATTTCAAGAATCCAAGTTGATGTAACCTGTATAAAAGAAAGCAATTCCAACATCCTTCCAGACATATGCTAGAAATTTCAAATTTTGTTTTACAAAAATGCAAGTGTTGCATTGCTAAGTCTCTTCTTCTCTAGATATAAAAAGAAAAAGTAGCCCTTGTTTCCACAAGAAACAGGCCCTGGGTCTTTTTTTGGGTGTAAATGCTGAAATGTAGAACTTAACTTAAAGCATGTAAGAAATCTCCTGGAAGTCAGAGATGACTGTCGAAATCTATGAGCCTAAGCAAGCCAAGATTCTGCCTTCCCAGGATCTTCCAGTCAGTGGCTTTGCTCAAAGAGAGATAATTTATTTCCATATCATAAAAATGGACAGAGTTGCATCAGTATATGCACAGTACTCCAAGAACATATTTGCAGTCTTGTTATTTGGCTGGGTGATGTATGCACAGGATGTACTTTGTGCTAGTAGCCATTATACTTAAGGAGCACAGGGTAGAATCTGGAACAGAACAAAACCAAAAAAGACAGACAGATGAAAAAAGAAAACTGTAGGAGTAATTTAGCTCCTCTGCATACATTATAACTGTAAACTAGCTTCAAGAACATTCATGTAATAACAACCTTTCCAGGACACAACTGTCTGTTACGGGCAGCTCTGCACTTGCACAGTGTTTTTGTGCAATGGGCAGAATAACAAGGCTGCCAAAGGGCATATGAAGGACAGCACTGCAAATGTGGTCCCCAAAATTCTCTCAGTACATATGCTACTCATAGGATCACTATTGCCAAAGACATTACAATTTATACTATAGGCTGGTCTAGGATTTTGTTCTGTATGCTGGAAATACTTTTGAGATAATACCAAGCACACTAGAAAATACTATAAAATGGCTGAGAAGAATGTTTTCTAATATTCCACATAGAGCTTGTTTCTCCAAACTGTGCTGTATAGCTTTTGTAGTTTTTTTGGAACAACATCCCAAACAACAGGAGCTGAAGAAAACACTGGTAAACAGGAAGCATTGGTTGTGAAAAGGAACCAAGATAAGATGGAATAACATGAAAGCAAAGAAAGTCAGCCAAACCTAAAATTGGCAACAAAGGCACTGAATGTTTTTCAAACAAACTCTTGAATAAGTAAAGCTGCTTGGTTTGTTTTGGTTTTGGTTTGTTGAGGTTTTTTATGAAGACAACATGATAAAGAAGTTGATTCTGTACTACGTGAACATTCAGTATCTGAAGGAACGTACTCTTGAAAGGGATGTATTCCAATGCCAAAACTGTGTACCAATCCAGTGTTTAAGAAAATGAGGGGTAACTCAATGACATTTGCCAAGTATAGCAATCAGGCAAATAGCTGACAATATTTGCCTTGCTGCTGGGAAGCAGCTCTTCAATTCTAATTATTCTGATACTTCTGCAGTGCCATGTGTATTTTCTTTTCTCATTTTCCTCCAGGAGTCAGTGCTACAGAATAAGCCAATCTGGGATTTAAGCCGAGATGCAGAGCACCAAGGTCCAGTTTCCCAGCCCTGCTACAGCCATCACATGGCTTTGAGCAAATCACTCTGTCTCCATTCCCAACTCTAACAATGGGAAAATAATTTCTTTCACCATTCTTTATTAGTTCATTACTTCAGTGGGGCAGCAAATATGTCATATAGCTTGTGATGTGCTTAATGCAGTAGGATCCTGATTCTGTAGAACTCTGCTTAGATACTTAAGTACTTCTATACTTATCATCATTACTACAGATCCTCATAACAGCTAAATGCAGAGTATATATAAATTTACTAAGGTAGGTGGTCAATGCTTTTTCATTTCTCAGTAAAAATAACTAACTAAATATGTTATGGAAGCAACTTTTTCTATTACTATAAAATACAGCTTTGTAGCTGTTTAGTCAGCAGTAAATTTACTCTTACACTGCTCTCAAAATCACTACCTTCACCTGCTCACAGGGAAGTCGTTAACTTGCACATACATAAACCAATATTTAGACCATTCTAGCACTTTTCATCAACATTTTGGATTAATATACTCTATCATGTTCCTGCATGAACACTGAGAAACGGGGATTTACAACTAACTTAACAAGTTTGCCCATTGCATTGTTATGCTGTGAGAATGTTCTTCATTACAACTTTGTGTCTCCATTATATTAATCTATTCCTCAGATTTAAAAACAACTTAATTAAAGAAACCATTGAGTACATGTGACCTTGTTTGAGAAAGTATTTTTGGAAAGCAAATGCTTCTCCCTGCCTCTGCACAGCTCCAGCTGACAAAAAGTATTGATCAGTAAGAAAAAAAATGCCATTTGTCACATAGGATTTATACCAGTTGCTAAATGCTTCAGATAAAAGTAAAGGAACACTAGAAAAAGCAAATTGGCTAGATCTGCCCTGCCATGTAAGTTTGGGTTTGTTTTTATAAAGGGAATTTTAAATCTCATTAAAAAATATATATATATCCTTGTAATCCGTATTGACTTCCAATCTGTTTTTAGTATATTTTCTTAGCCATATGCCAGTGCAATTAACTCTCAAGAAAAGTATTTCCTTGTATCAGATTTCTCCCTCCTGCCACCCCAATTTAACTAGATATTCTCCTTTGAACTTTTACTACAACTCATGGGAAATAGAACTCCTGACCTGCATTCCTTACTTCATCACTTCATATAGTTGTTGTCACTTCCTATCTTTGTTTACTTTCTGATAGAAGCAGCTCTAGTCTGAACATTTCAGTATCGCTTGATTTTTCAGTGGTCTCACGATGGCTTTTCTCCCTTCAGAGAAAGACACACCAACTGCAGTAACATCGAGTGCACTAAGACATTGCATCAGTCAGTCTTCTGAAGAACAAACATGAAGTGTAATTTATTTTGCTCCCCCGGATACTGTTTTCATTGTCATATCCAATGGTATGCTGGATGGGATACGGTTCAACTGGAAGTTTCACTAAACTGCTGTTGAACACTATTAAAACATCCTATTAGGTGTGACTTACTGACCGGAAGAGTCAGTAAACAAATGCAGTATAAGTGACAGTATGAAAATAGAGTAACAGTAATTAGCAACGTGACTCCATGAGTAACAGGAAAATTGCTTTGACCCAGCTGATGGCAGTAGCAAAAAAATCTTTTAAAAATTTCATTTAAAAATCTTCCTCAAATAGATGGGTTTTCAGCTGTACATTACCAAGACTTCTCAAGGTCATTGACAACATGGTTGCCACAGATCCTGCTTCACTGGTATTCCAGTCCATCTCTGTTGGGAGACACAGTGGTAGCTGTGGTCCACTGTGTTGGTAACACCTAAAAGGCACAGATAGACAGACTGGCTCACAGCCCGTCATAG